CAAGACTCTTTCCACACGCATGGGGATTAAAGCGTCGTCTCCGCTGCGGCTGGCGTCCGATGCCTCGTGGCAGCTTTGGCTACTTCGTGTTTAGATACCGTTACACATCTTATAGACCTGCTTTATTGGCTTCTAGGCATCTATAGCTACGGCCAAAAGGGCGTAAGGATCCAGATCATTGTTGGGTTTATGGTTCCAGTTTCCTGTTCTGAGGATGCCTTTAGACCTATACGCAGGTGTGGCCCGAAAGCCGGCACTAGCCTCAGAGTGCGGAGGATTCCCGGTTGATTCGCGATCCAAACATCATACATCGGAGGGCTGTTCGCTTGTCACGTAGTCAACACATCCTTGAAGCCTGGACCTTGAAGCCCGAAACTCCTAACACGCTAAAGGCACTGTGAGGCACTGGACAACCCGAGGCCTCAGACTCCTGGGTTTAGTTTAGGCCTCAAGCCCCGAAGTTTTTGACTGCTTTCATTCTACCACTTTAGTCTGAGATCAGATTGTTGAGCTTAGTTTAGGGTTCACAGGCGCTGTGCATCAAAAACCTCTTCCCATCCAAATTCAATTAAACCTCCAAAGTTTCGATGTTGGTGTTGTGGAATTCTGGGTTGATGCCGCTCCGAATGATGCTTCCCTAAAATCTCCAACATCCCACACTCTATAAAGCCAGCGAAATCAGAGTTGTTTGTTTGAGAAATTCCAGGTCCTGCTGAAGGCAAATTCAACCCTAAACCCTGAAAGCTGTTGTTTCACCACAAGGACATCTTCGATGATGTGCTACAGATTCCCAAAGGCTCGGTTTAGCACTGCTGTTACGGAAGAAGTAAGCCAGCGTCCTACTTTCAACATAGCGTGGGACCTGAAAAGCATGTCATTGTCTCAACGTTCATCTCAAGCAGGCTGTTGTTGGTATGATGTTTAGGGGTCCCTTCCGATGGTCTGTGACAGGAGAAGAGTGTACTGCAGGCTGTTACGGTACGAGGTATTTGGCACTACTTTGGCAAGTGACACGGTGCGACCATACCCAACCAAGTCCAACAAGGCCTCCTCCACCCGCTACAAATCCCCACAACCTGCAATGAACTCTTCGATTCTGCAGGCCTCAACCATCGCCCAGAACCGAAAGTGACACCTGAAACCTAACCTTGGAGGCTTCCGGGAGGCCCTTGTGCCCTTTTTGAGGTTTTAGGTCCCTTGGATTGCTGAATGCTCCGTCGAAGCACTTCGGGAAGCACCTTTCTTCATCTCTAAACCCCTCGGCCCTGAAACGTTCGGCACCCGGAATCCTTGGAGAATGAAGCAGGCTCTGTCAATCCCTTCGTGCTGGCGCAAGAATCTTGCAGTGAGATCTTCCTCCTGCAATTCTGCCGCACTTGCGCCGGCCACCATAAACGCGTTTTGGCGTTGGGGTATATAGGTCCTGGTGGCAAAATGATGGTTTGGGGCCCGTCAAGGCTCAGGGGTTTGGGGTCGGTCAGGGTTTCGGGGTTTAGGGCTGGAGCCGGCTGGAGCAGTGTGAAGGCTAAACCGCTAAACCGTATAAACCTTTGAACGAAATAATATAGTATAACTTATAACATAGTCTTGATCCCGAAGCCTACATCCCGTGCAGGTATGCCTATTGAAACCCGGCACGCCGGTGGGTAGCGCATGACCCCAAAACCCTCAATCCTAAAAGTGTGCATCCTCAAGCATTCAATCCAGTACACCAAATCCCAGCCAGCCGAAACTTTTTTAGCTTTGTGACCTGAGCTGCGGTGTTGATTGGTACTTAGCGCGTGAGTGCTGATCAATGTTGTCGTCATCGTGATTTCTGAGCGGTTTCTCGCAGGCAGTAGTGGTAGAATTGCTGCAGCAGTGTGAGTTGTGCATAGTGGTCCTAACAGCAAGTGCTGCTACTGTAGCTGCCATAGCGACGGTGACGAACCACTGCTGCTGTTGGTATTTTCGCACGTATGTGCATCATAATTACCATGCTGGTGTTCTTTCACCCTGCGGCCCGAAGACGATACTACAATGCTGCCAGAGATGAAGACACCCCGCCCGAAATGCCCGGTACCTGGTCCGTTCGTGGTCGGAACCTGGTAGTAGAATCCAGTCAGATGCAGCTGACAGCGGATGCTGCCTTAACTATTCACGCAATGAACTGAGCACCACTATTACAAATGAGATATTACGACTCCTTGTGTGTTGAACCTCAATAGCACGAAAGCCTATACACGTCCTGAATACCAAAGTGAAGAGTCGAATTCCAAAAATGCAGTCCAGGCTTGACAAGCAGTTCTTGAGCTGCGAAGGCGCCGCAGCTGCGGATTTAGGGAAGAAAACCTGGAAAATGTGTTGCAGATTCGTGGAGTTCAAAAATTTCAATAGGTTTTTTCATCAGTTGGAATTGCTGTTGGAGGAGGGAAGACTGCTGGTGGAGGAGGGAAGGGGTGAAGCCAATGCCATGTTGGATGCAGATGGTTGTCGTCACAAGATTTGCGTGTGATGAGAGTGGAACTTGGGTGAAACCAGTTTCTTCGTAAACGCAACGCTCGCTTTTGCTCGGTGGCTCAAGATCATTGGGTGTTGCCGGGGTGACACTTAGGCAAGGGCACTTGCGGAACAGTCATTTTGAAGGACGTCCTGTTGCAGAGGAAACTTCTCGTAGCAGCCGACTTGTAGGCAGACACTGTTCCGATGCTTCTTCAAGCCTCTCCGGCTGCCTGTGAAAAGACCCGATGCCGAACCGATACGTAGTTGCGATGCCTCAATTGCTCGGTGTGCACAAATTCGCCTATGCCCTCGCGGCATTTTTTGCGATTGTTGGAGGCAGCCGGAAGGAAGTGGGGGGGGGGGTTGATTTAGTGCTCGGGGTTTAGTGAACTGTGGGGGATTTCGGAACTTGTGGTCGTGCGACGTCAAGGGCCAGGTTTGGCAGTAATTTGGTTTCGGGTTCGGGGCAGGGTCGAAGGTCGAATTTGGGGAGTGAGTTTGGAAGTCCAGCGCTCCGTGGCTTCTGCTTTCGGATTCAAGTTGGGAGAGTCAGCTTGAAGGGCTTTGCGGCTTCCTTAAAGTTTCTTTTGGGGGGCTCCTTTAAAGGTCCGTATACGGGTCCCTTCGAGGGGGATGCTGGCCGCATTGGCCTGTCGTCAGCCTGAGACCAACACGTCGCCCACAGAGACTGCCATCGGTTCGGGAAGTCTTCATCCACTATAAAAACTGGAAGACGGATTGGTGGATAAACTTGATGCGCTCTGGTTTCACTCCTGCGATGAAGGTCATTCCCAGTCTTCTCTCCTAGACTCGTCAGACTAGGGACGAAGACGTGATGGAAACTTGGAACTGCGCGTCAACTGCAAACCTTATACTTAAGTTCATGCTCGCAGGTGTGGCTGGGGAGCATGACCTGGACAGCCAGTGTGCCCTGCAACTCAGCACGAAGGCTTCTCGGAGAACTTCAGCAGGAGGTGAAGTGTCCGTATGCACATGCCGCAAAGTCGGGCTGTGCACGGCCTCAACATCAAAACACATACAGGCAGCGCAGATCTTTTTGGTACTATAGTAGGTTCGAAGGGCTTGAGGATTGTTGCGGCTGTATGCCATTTAAACATGTGCCGTCCAGAGATTCGATGCATTCATTCGAAATGCATTGTTACTGACATAGTTACTGGCACAGTTGAGACATGGAAACGCGTGCCGACTTCAGAGGCACGTCTGCTCTTTCAGAACTCAGACGTAGTTGCTCGGATTCTGGACTGCGGAGTGTGGTTTGCGTCGCGAGCGCGTCAGACTCGAACAGAGACATCTAGGTCGAATCTAGGTACTATCAGAAGCGAGAGCAGAATATCTAAAATCAAAATAGTATCAGAGCGGTTGTGATGGGCGTGTTGGAGCAACGCCATAGCACGGAAACTGATGTGAGAGTGAAGGAGGTTTCGAGAGTGTGACCGTTCACATGAGTCTAGCGGTTTGTTAGTTCGTGAGCCGTTGCCAAGGAGTTTTCCGAAGCTTGCAAGTTTTGGTGGTGTCTTAATCCTGATGGCGCCGGCATGTTGTTTGGCGAAGATATGCTCCCCACACAGCCTGATACCTAGCAGCACGACATGCCGACAGAAGTCAATTCCAGAGTATCGATTTCCTGCCAAACCATGTATTGTTTGGCTGGGAGCATCCTCACAGATGTACATGCGGTGTGTAGTTCTCATTATGGATCTAGAATATACAGAGGAGAGCCATGAATTCATATCAAGCCTACTGTAAATCCTTGAGGGGTCCGCAGTGCAAGTACATGTCTGATTTGCGTAACTAGGATCAGGGCAGCCCTCAAGAACATGCCAACCCTGCAGAGCCTGCGCATGGCGCCGCTACACACCCACAGTCTGAACGTTTCTGCAGCGAGCCGCGGTCTCTTCATCCTCTTAGAATCACCACTGTACTACGTCGACATAGAGACTTCAAGCGGTGATCAAGCTTGCAAGGCTCCGCTTCGAGTCGCGATCTTCATGACGACACATTGGAGCAACCCGGTTTTATTCAAGGGGTCTCCAGTACGATGCGGACACTGGCTGAGTATTTTTTGAACGGAGTCTCTACAACAGGCACGAACTTTAGTACAGGTTCCCTGACATTCTTAAACGAAAACGACCGGTGGTTTGGCGGTATTGCTGGGCAGGGGTTGTTGAGTTGGGCTTGAAGTTAATGCAAGACAGGTCGAGACTCACGGTCGCGGGCTTGCAGCATGCTGTGGGGGGGGAGTTGGGCTTTATAGGGTCAAGGGTTCCATTCTTTGGGCAGGGTCTAGGTGTCTAGGTCTAGGTTTTCAAGTTTCAAGCATTATAGGTTTGGAGTTTCCAAAGTTTTAGCTCCAGGTTCTAAGTACGACGTTGAAAGTTTGTTGTTCAATGCTTTGGGCTGAGTGTGCGAGGTTGGGGGTAAACGAGTCTGGGCTTGGGCCTGGGCTTCACAATTTGCGGCTCGTGTTAGATTGGTTTTGCTTCTGACTGTGAACAGAGGCCAAGCGCACCAAAAGTACCTGCCGTGCTGGGGACGAGCGGTCCAGCAGATTCCACTGTTGCAGCATTCAGACCTGATTCTGTACACGTCGGCAAATATCAGCAGTTCGGACATTGAGCGGTTTCACTTCCGCAACGTTACTGTCAAGAAGTATGTCAACGAAGGTTGGCAAAAGGGCGCCATAAAGGCAATCACAGATGCTTTCGGTGAAAAGGGATACCAGGAAAAGTGGTTCGAGGGCTACGACTGGGTTATCAGGCTGAATGCAGACGTGCTAATTATGGATGACACGTGGTTGCGGAAGACAATGGAGAACGCCTCCATCGATGGAATCTTCGGAGCATGCATGGGTGACCAAATCCACACAGACTTTTTTGCGCTCCCTCCTCAAGCTGTGGACTACAAGTTGGTGGATGAATGCTCCAACAAGTATGGCGCCGAAAAGCACTTTACTTGCGCCATCGCGAATGTGCTTCGATCCAAGAGGTTCACGTGGGTGCCTCGCAAGTTCTTTGGCAAGTTTTTCCTGTCCCACACCTGTGAGCTGTAAGCCTACAGCCTGAAAGGGTTTCAGGGGCCGGCCGTAGGGCTTCCGTGTTGGAATGGGCGAGGTGAAGTTATTTCTAGATTGTGTAGTGATTATTCACCTAGAGCCACACTTTCGCCCATTGCGTGTGTCTTTCTCGAATCGAGAACATTCGGAGACAATCTGCACACAAACACACACACACGCACACCCACCTCAACACCAAACCCTAACTCACAAGCGGACACTTGCTTCCAGAGTCCTGCAGCAAGCGTACCCGAAGACCTGGAATACAAAAAGGAAATCCCAAGTTCAGGCCCTTGGGATCAGGAGGTCGAATCAACTAGGAGCCCAAACGCATGGTCGAAGCCGAAGCGAGCATCTTATATGTCACTAACCTGAACCTGCAAACCCCAAGTGCCCAAGCCAAGCCTTCAACTGCACGTAAACTCACAGGGCAAACCCTCAACTCCAAAATTCGACTGGCAATGAAGCCCTACACCCCCTGTCCAACCAAAATGGATGCGGCGACTTTGTTGGCGGGTTTGCGCAGCTTGTTTCAACCGCACTCTTGTAAACTCGGACCTGCATCGGAGCAAGACGCGCAGTGCGGCTGACGCGACCCGTTTCTGCTCCGTCTACACGAGCCTATGAGGCTTGTTCTGCTTGGCCTTCCTAAGGGTTCCGGAGTTTCCCCTGCTTCAGCTGTGGGCATGAGCTGGTTAGTCGTGCACGATTCCGTGGCCTGCACCGGAAACGGTTGTTGCTTTCTGATGACAAGTGCTGCCATTTCCGGACACACGTAGGGCCCAAAGCAGGGTCACGTCTGCACAGAAATTGAAAGATGAGTTGCATTGTGTACGATGGTATCCTACCTCGGGAGTTTTTTGCAGACAGTCCCTCAGATTTTCTTCAGTATAGGTGTTGTCACTCCAATCAGGAAATTCGTCGATGCAGGCCTTGTTAGCACCCCGTCCCTGTCCGTGCTGCCTGCTTACTGATAGGCTGACTTCCGCCAAGTGAATTTTCGCTTGGCGGCACTGGAGCCACCCGGAATTGCCCTCGCGCGACCGAACAATCTTTCGCCTTGGATCTGCTTCCTTCAGCTTAGTGAGCTCAAAACTTTAGAATTTTAGAGTGCTCCAACGCTAGATTGTGTGGCGACTACTATGTCATTACTATCTATTGCCTGGAGCAGCTGTCTAGTCGCGGTCAAAGCACAACCTGAAGCCCTAGAACTTAACCTACGGCCCCCTGCTTGCTGACCACCAGCATGACACTCCACACCTTAAGGTCGAAGGCGCCGAGGAGAAGGTTTGCAGAATGGTTGGGGCACGCTCGCCCATCGTGCACGCGCACACCCTTTGGCAGTGCTGCCCGGACTACCTCGCGCCTGAGGCTTCTTGGACGAAATCCTTCTTTATGTAACGAAACAATGTAAATCCCAGTGCTGCTCAGGACCCTGCTGCTGGTGCTAATTGTGCTGCTCATGTGGTGAAGCCGTCCCTACTAATCATCCGGCTGCTGCTGCTGCTGCTGCGCATGCATGCTGAAGGTCGTTTGGGTTCATGAACATTCGAAACGGAATATTTATTTGTGCTATTATCGCTTTGCGCAATGCAACTCCTGCTGCTTCTGTTTTGCATGCTGAAGATCATTTGGGTTAATGAACATTCGAAAGGGAGTATTGCACGTCCTGCAGCACTGTCATCATGCCCGAATCAACTTGAACCGTGTAGCCTAAGCCAAAAGCTTCCCAACCTCAAGCCTTGAGCCCTCGGCGGAAAGAAAGCCTTGACCCAGGCGAAGTGTTCACGGCTCTCTGGGAACCCATTCCCCGACCCGAATGTCGTGATCAAAAACCTTCTGCCGTATGGGACTGCTCGATCTTGGCTGCTGTCAACGTCCGCGGCTACTTTTGGTCGGGGCGTCTAGTTGTTGCGGGCCATATCAGGATGATCCGTTGTCAGTTCGTGGACTTGATTGTAGCTCGTGTGAAGGTGTCTGATTCGCCCAGGAGATGAGAAACTTGAGGTGGCAAGTTCAATTTTGCACATTCGGGCCCTGGCTTGCGGTCAAAGGCTGCGCATGCTAGAGACAAAAAGATGTGCTGCAGCAGAAAGATAATTTTGGCCTCGGGCGAGACCCCTTCGCCCTGGAACCTCAACCCCTAAGCCTAAATAGCCCTGAACCCTAAATTGCCCTAAATCTACGAAACCCTAACACCCTGGAGCCCTAAGACCCTGTCACCCGAAAAAGCCTGATGCTTTGAGATACAGCAGCTTCAATTTTTTGGACCCGAAACTCGGAATTCGATCCAAGGATGCGGGATATGGGGTCAGATTTCGTGCCTGTTTGCAAGGAGGAGCCGCTTTTGGGTACATAAACTCGAAAACCGAACCCTATCATCGTGCGAAACAGCAAACTCCAAAGCGTACCCTAGAAGCCCAGTTGCCAAAACAGTCGGTTACCGTTCCTAATAACTATATTACTATATACACACTAAGGCCAGTATCCTACCATATAGGTAACTGGGGTCTGCTGTGAAGGCCCCTCGACGCTTATCTCCAGCAAGCCATCCTTGAAGGTTTACTCTTTCATCCGATGTCCTCCGACTTTACTACCTGCCTAGCGCCGACGCTTGGCAATGGTTCAGGCTTGTCATTTTCTACTGCGTGCCTTGTTGTGCCAGAGATTACACTTTGAACAGAAAGTGCGGATTTGGGTTTGAGGCTGTAGGATTGATGGTCATTTCATTCGCCCTATCACGGTTCCCTGCATAATTACAGTATAGAAATCGACCTTCACTGCTAAGGCTCCTATTCTAGCGTTAGGGATTGATGATGTAGGGTTCAGGGTTTGCTCTAAAGTCTCGGTCCCGGTCTTAAATCCTAGATGTGCTTTCTTGCGTTCTAAACCCTGGACCCGAACCCAGAACCCCCCCCCCCCCATCAACAAACAAACAGAATTGACCATGTCCAAAATGCATCACGTAGGATCACTACTCCCCAAAATGTCTCATATGCGACCGAGGACCGAGCTGACGTCTTTCTTGGAGAAGGCAGCACCAGGCCGCTTCCTCTACGTCGACGCGCATCTTCTATAGGGGCTGGGCAGTTTCCGGGAGTGGGGGTGTGAGTTTAGAGTAGATCAAAACCCCTAAACCCTAAACCCCGATCTTGCAGCTGGGAGAGCCACCTCGCAGGATCGGGTTTCGGTGTTTCGTCTTCGCAGGCCGTGGTTTTGCGAGACATCGAGATTGTCAGTGTTGCTACAAGGCTTTGCGAGGAGTGCACGGTGCCAGAATTCAGACGGCTTAGGTGTTGGGATGCTGTTGGTGCCATAACGTGGGTTGTAGGATAATCCCGAATGCCGAACCATGATGGCTCTGAGGCCTCTGCATTTTCGAAACAACCCCGAAACCGTAAAGCCTAGCCCCCCCCCC